GTCAGGCCAACGGACGTGCCAGGATCATGGGTGAGCGGCGCCCCGCAGTGCGGGAACGCGCGTTGTGGAACGATGGTAAAGGAACTTGCGAAGAACAGTGCTCTAGAGTGCGGGGCTTGCAAAGCTGAGCGAGAGAAGAGGAAGCTGGTGGCGACGTCGCCGGAGGACGCGCGATGCAGGGAGGAGAGGTTTGTGGAGGCCGTTGCGATTTATGCGAACCAGGACATTCGGTGTCACGTTGGGAAGCAGAGAGCAGTGCAATGGGCGAGGGAACGGGAAGAACATATTCTGTGGGTCGCTGGGAGAGACCGGCCCTGCCATGGGGGGAGCAAAGGCGGCCGTGCACGGTGGGGAATAAGATGCGGTGGCTGGGGTACCACGAGAAAGCGTGTGGAGGCTGACCAGGGTGGCTCCCGTTGGCGAAAGGGGTGCCCGTGGCGCTTGGAGATCATTTGGGTAGGTCGAAGAAACAGCTGCTGCGGGGGCGCACAGCGACGAATCATGGATGGGTGCAGGACGAGGTCGTGGGAGACGCGGACGAAGAGGTCTTGTCGCACGTGCCCAAGATGATAGTGTTGGATTTCCATACGAAGGAGTGGCACCTGCCAGGGTGGGAGCCGGGGCTGTGCCCAATTTTCCCTTCAAAGGGGCGCCTGTGGTTTTTGGATGAGTATCGGAAGCGCCCAGTGCTGGGCGCGAAGCGCACGCAGTTCATGATTACACCAGCGTTGGCAGTCACAGCCCACGCCGCGCAAGGGAGGACGACGTGCGCTGTTATTGCGGATCTGGAGAGAGGGCGCGACGTAAGTTGGATGTCCAGTTATGTGGCCATTACGCGGGCCCGGAGGCGGGGGAACTTGTTGATTGTCCGGCCTTTCGATAGGAAGCCGCACAACGAAGGCGAGATGCCAGGCGCGCAGAAGCTGTTGCAGGTGCTTCGCGGGGAGAAAGTGGACTGGGAGAAGTGGGAGGCGAAGCTGATGCCGCGCGATCAGCGCGGGCGTTGCCGACGACGGCTGCTGGCGGAGGCGTTCGCGAAGTACGAGTTCCAGCGGAAGGAGAGGCCGGCGTTCTGTAAAGAGTGCACCGCCGAGATGAAGAGCCGGGGCGAGAAATTGTGCAGGACGCGCGACGGATGGGCAACGAAAGCGCAGGGCGATGGAGGCGTGCAGGAGGGCGGCGATGGGGGCGCGGCAGGTGTTGGCGATGGGGTCGACGCGAAAAGAATTCGGACCTTGTACTGTGTCATGTGCAGCGGTGTCAAAGGGCAACAGAAGTCTCGCCGTTGCAACGCGAAATGGGCAGAGAGCGCGGGCAAAGTGCGTTGTTCGAGCGATGACTGTCTGGCACCAGAAGAAGCACAAAGCAGCAGGGGAGAGGTTGCGTCGGAAATGCGCGGAAGAACGTGAGAGGACCACGCGCGAGTCGAATAATAGGAAACGCGTGGGCCAAGTGCTCTGTTCGAACGATGACTGTCTGGCGGCGTTCCCAGAGGGGGCGGAGATGTCCGATGCTCAAAAGAAGCACAAAGCAGCAGGGGGGCGGTCATGTCGGAGGTGCGCGGAAGAGCGCGAGAGGACGACGCGCGAGCTGAATAATACGAAGCGGGAAGCTGAGGCGGACGCTAAGCCGCCGACGTACGCGGCGTGCGGGGGAGCGTTCTCGGGCGCGAAACATTTGAAGCCAGCGCAAGTGGAACGTCATCGAAAGACGAAACAACTCAAAGTGGCGTGCGGGGGCTGTGAGAAACTCGGGTTCACAGCGCGCAGCTGCCGAGCGCATCAGTGCAGCGGCGCGTGCGAGAGGAGACTACCGAAGTCGGCGTTTCCCGGGAACCCTGCCAATGTCGCGCGCGACGACAAGAAGGGCACCCTGAAGTGCAATACATGCAAATGATGCCCAATCGGGCGCGCGTGCTGGGGAGGAACAGGAGCACGGAAAGAGGAGGGGGGGGGGGGGCGGAGGATGGGGGGGGAAGAATCGGAGAGGATCGGGAGAGGAGGAGGTCGGGGAACGAAACGAAGGGGGGAGAGGGGGGCGAGGAGGAGGTGGAGGAGGAAGAGGAAGAGGAGAGGGGGATACTGAGATGAGGCTCTGGGTTCTGGGGTATATGTTAGAGGCTTCTTGTTTGTGCATTCGAGCGCGGGTTCGCATCTGGTTTATCCATCGCGGGCAATGTTGAAGCCACTGGGGGTCGAGGTGGACGGGGGGCGGGGGGGCGCAGAGAGAAGGCTCAGAGTCATTGGTTATGGGTTAGAGGCATCTTGCATGTGTATCGGGATCTCGCGGCACGGCTCTCGGGGGCCTCTGGAATGTAGTTTTGAAACCACTTGGGGGGGCCGTTTCGGAGCCTCTGGCGGGCTTCTTGGGGGTTCTTTGGGGCGTTTGGGGGGAGTCTTGGGGGCTTCTGGCGGCTTCTGGGGGCGCGCTTGGGGCCGCCTGGGAATCCTTGGGGCGGAAAGCTAGCTTTTTGCTTTTAATGTTTGGTCGCCCTCTTGGGCTTCTCTTGGTGCTGTTTTGGAGCCCTCTTGGGCCGTCTTGGGGGCCTCTTGGGCCGTCTTGGGGCCATCTGGGGCCGTCTTGGGGCCGTCTTGGGGGTCTCTTGTGCCGTCTTGTGGCTGTCTTCGGGGCCTCTTGGGCCGTGTTGGAGCGTCGGGAAGCCGAAAAGGCGAAAAGGCAAAACACATAGAAAAACACAATGGACATCAACATGTTTAGCCTCTTGAGGCCCTCTTGGAAGGCTTATTTGGGGCCTCTTGGGCCGTCTTGGAGGCCTCTTGGCCAATCTCGGGGCCATCTTGGGCGTCTTGGAGTACGTGTGTGGCGTCTCAGGGCCCTCGTGGGCCGTCTTGGAGGCCTCTTGGGGCCTTCTTGCCCCGTCTTGAGGCCCTCTTGGGCCCGGAAAAGCCGCGCGATGCGCTCGCGCCGGGGCGGGGGAGGGGGGTCAAATCTCCAGTTTGGGGGCGCGGGGGGGGGGGGGGGGCTATCTCGCGGCTAGAAGACCCGCAAGGGGTCGGCGGATTATGACACCGCCACCGCTGGAGAAATAGTTCGTTCAAACCTCGCTTGGCATAACTTGACACCTACCCACTAGTTGGCGCAGGTCAATCGCGAGTGGCGCGCGGGGAAACCTGCTGATCATAATTCAGAAGAAGAAGGCCAACAAGAAGCTAATGAAGATGAAGATGGTGAAATGGCTGAAGAAGTTGATCACGCGGACGCTGCCCCTGAAGGCCGTGAGTCCAGCAACTCGGGTGATACGGACGCCGCGTGTCATGCAGATACTCCGTTCGACCCCGATTACGTTGTCACAAGAGATATGGATCTATCTCCTGGGAGGCGGATTGCTTACCGTGCTGAAGATACTGGCTGGATAAAGGCAAGCATAGTCGAACGACTAAACGCCGATACTTATTTGGTTTCAGGTAAGCGCAAGATCCCCATTAAGAATATGGCCCTCAGGATGCCAGATGGTGTCGATCTGAATCCTGGCCGAGGTCCCAGGCCCCATGCACCTGGGACGGCGGCAGGAGCCGCGGCAAAGGCAACTCCTAAGCCAAAGCCAGAGACGGTCGATCTTCCTCCATCTTCTGATTCATGAAGCCCATCTCTCGGCCCTGATCAGCTTGGGCCCAGGAAATCGAAAAGGAAGAGCCCAGATGATCCCAACCCTGGGGACAGCAAGCAGCAGCGATATGCGGGGCGACCTGCTGATCGACAACGATCCAGAGGACCGGCAGCGGCCGCCGCAGCAGCTAGATTTCAGAGCACCAGTGCGCCCACTCCAAAGGAACCTGCGCCACGCCGCGGCCCTGCACCAGGTCGGGCGCGCAGGACAGGATGGGCGCCCGCGCTGGAAGGGCGGACAAGGGATGCATCCTCTACGAAACGCGGCACTGAGAAGCTCCTTGCTACCACGCCAAAGGTGCCAAGAGCAGCGCCCAGAGATAAGAAGGCCGAGCCCTACAACATCAAGGGGAAGAAACGCCAGAACTTCGATATCAGTACCCCGCCAGGAACTCCACGGGCGCCCAGAGGATCAGTTGGCGCTGCCACATCGGCGGCGAGCGCCGCAGCGCCTGCCGCGCCAATGGCAGCCCCGCGTTCTGCGGGGCAACCTGCTCAGAGTTCTGCGGGGCAACCTGCTCAGAGTTCAGCGGGGCACCCTGCCCCCGCGTTGGAGGTGCCAGCGGAATGCCGAGAGCACTGGGAAAAGATGCGCACCTCCAGTCGCGCGAAGATCAATCCAGCGTATCATCCTCGGATTGGCGACGGGTCTGATCGATATATGGTGGTGCAATGCAACATCGTGGACACTGCTATCCATCATGGCACAGATTCACGCACGCGCCAAGTAGCGCGCAACATTATGCGGAAACGCCCAGTCCTCACGTTAAAATCTGAAAGGGAATATCTGGAAGATATCTTCATACCAGAAAATATTAACAGGCCGAAGTTCAGGTACGATGATCAGCGTAAGATTTCAGAGTGGCTGACGACGGCCCTCCGTCACAAGCCTTCTCATAGAGGTCAATTGTCGGACGCATTCATTGGGGCAGCTACCTCGTATGAAGAGTGCGACGGATGGGCAGAAATCTCACAGTTACTCAACGACTGGCCCGCGGAAGGATATGATAGTTACCACCACGAGCACCTGGGCAGGATATGCTACAAGCTCAAGAACCAGTACTGGGCGTGCCAGGCGCATGCTGTTCCGGAACTTATTGGCATGGTTGGTGAGTTTGGAATGAGAAAGGAATAGGTTGCACATCAAGAAGTTGAAGTACTCCTCCGAGAAGCACGACACATACTTCATCCGTCCAAGCAACGGACACAGCAGCCCTGGTATTTAGTGCCCCGAGTCATTATGCATGATAATTACGGACCTGTCGGCTCCTGGGGCACCCTGTCATTTCACCCATGGAACTCAATGGGGGGTTATAGTTTCTTAAGTCATAAGGGTGAACTCATATGGCAAGCTTACCGAACTCAATGGAACTCAATGGGCCATTTTGAATAAAGTCCGCCCCTTCCTCGGGGATCTCGGACTTGGCCGAAATGGTCACCATTGCCGTTTCGCCCGAGGGCCCCTGGCCAAGCGTTGCGCCGCCCGCTCTCGGCCGCGGCCCTCCACGCCCACCGCTGGGATGCCATGGCAGTGGCTTCTGAGCCTGCCGTTCGGCCTGCTGGTCTCGCTCAACGCGATGCCGCACCAGATCCGTCGCGGCCAAGCACGTGCGATGGCTCCGAGCTGCCCAACGGGGTCTTCTGCCGCGCAGTGGAGCGTGGGCGGCGCTGCAGCTGGACCTGCTCCTTCCACTTGCGGACGTGACCGGCCCATCCCAGCGCAAGCTCCAGTTGCCGCCGCTCAGCCCCGTTGGCAGGTGCGCTGGCGGGGAGCTGCGCCTCGTCGCCGACTTTCTACGCCGCCTGCGTGACGCGTGGGCCGTTGATGAGGGTGGCCTGCCCGTTCCCTCGCACGCCGCCCACGGCGCTGTTGCGGCTGAAGCTCCTGTCGGCGCCGACGGCCCGAAGTTCGCCGCCATGCTGGTGGCCTGCGCGTACAGCCCGCCCAGAGCCTTCCTCCTGCCGCTCATGCTGCTGCTGATGATGGTCGAGAAAAACCAGCAGGTAATTTTCCTATTCATCCCTCTCTTCTTGAAGTCGCTGGTGGTCGTCGTGCCGACGCCGCCGATGGAGTCCTGCATGCCCTTCCCGTCCGAGGTCATGTTGCCTACGCGCCCCGCGGCCTCGCGTCTTGACGTGACGGCGCTGTCCCGCTGCCACCACCACCCGCTGAAGGCCATGTTACATGTTGCAGCTGCTCTCGCTCCAGGTTGCGGAGGTGCTGGGCCTCTCCCTCCACCAGTTGCAGTTGCTGCCCCCGAAAAGGGCCTCATGATGAAGCTGGTCCTCTTCATGAGTTGCCTACCGATGCCGCTGGTGGCGATCTGCACGCTCCCGAAGAGCTTCCCGGTGAGGACGCTCCTCTGCGCGTACCTCTTGATGCCGCCGCTGGCGTTCGGCATACCCTCGATCTGCCTCACGGCGAAGTTGTTCTGCACGAGCCTCGCGATGCCGCCGCTGGTGGCGACCTTTATGCTCCTCGAGAGCTCCATGGTCGAGGCGCCCCTTTGCACGAACCCTCTGATACTGCCGCTGGTGGCGACCCGCGAGCTCCCGATCAGCTCCATGGCGAAGGCGCTCTTCTGCACGAGCCTCCTGCTGCTGCCTCTGGCGGCGTCCTGCACGCTCCCGAATTGCCTCATGGTGAAGACGCCTCTTGGCACGATCCTCCTGATGCTGCCGATGGTGTCGAGCGGCGCGCTGCCGAAGAAGTTCAAGATGAAGACGCTCATTAGCACGTGCCTCCTGATGCTTCCGCTGGTGGCGCCCTTCATGCTCCCGAACCGCTTCATGGGGAAGACGCTCCTCTGCACGTACCTCCTGATGCTGCCGCTGGTGGCGCTTTGCTCGCTCCCGAAGAGCCCGAAATGAAGACGCTCATATGCACGAACCTCCTGACGCTGCCGCTGGTGGCGAACACCATCTCCAGTCCCTCGCGGCGCTGTCGCTGCTTCGTTTCGTCGACATACGCTGCTTCTTGGCCGGGAGGTCGCAACCGCGGCCAACGCTAAGCGCGCAGTTCCAGGAATGGTGGCGGGTCAAGCGGCGTGGCGTTCTGAAGAACAACCGCCCCTACTACCGGTGCTTCGACGCTTGGGTGGCCCTGACGTTTGCCGAGGTCGCGGAGGGTGCTAGCGAGCCCGCTTCTGCCCTGCAAGTTGTCCCTGCTGAAGACACGGCTGCGCCCGACTACATCCTTCGCGCGCCGTGGAGCGCTCCGATATCATGTGGCGCCCTAGGTCGCTGCTTCTCTTCCGAGGTTGCCCACTCGGGACTGGAGGAGAGCTCAATGGTCCAGGATGCCCCTTCCTCTCACTTTCTCCGTCGCTCCTCGTCAGCATCTCCCTCCGTGCACGAAAGGTGCGGAATCCACGCCTGGAAGCCGCCCGTGTCTCCCTGGCCCCCGATGCCGCCTTTTCCTATTTTTTCGGCTTCCCCGAGTCACGAAATGAAGTTATGTATTGACGATCGCGCACGCTCCTCACACGCCTGTGCAGCGAGAAGCGCTGAACATCGCATCTAGATGAGTTAGGTGCACTGCAGGGGCGCGCGGAGAGACATCACTTTGTTGCCCTCTTCTCGCGTCGTGCTTGCTTGCCTTCTTCTCGTCCTCTTCAGGCTACTTTCGCTCCTCCTCCTCCTCCTCCTCCTCTTCCTCCTCCTCTTCGTCATCATCATCATCATCATCATCATCATCATCATCATCATCATCATCATCATCATCATCATCAGCATCAGCATCAGCATCAGCATCAGCATCAGCATCAGCATCATCAGCATCACCATCACCATCCTCCTTCTTCTCGCCCGCATCCTCTTCTTGTTCCTGCTCACCTTCCTCCTTTTCGTCTCTCTCCTCTCCTGGCTCTCGGAGAGGAAGGGTGGCGGGAGACGAAAAGGAGGAGGAGGAGGAGGAGGAGGATACGTGGAAGATGGAAGAAAGGTAACGGGAGGAGGGAGACGAAAAGGTGAAGAGGAGTATGGAGAGGGCGAGGAAGAGGACCTGAATCCTCGTCCTTTACATGCTCCTCCTCCTCTTTCGCCTCCTCCTCCTTCTCCTCCTCCTCCGCTTCCTCCTCCTCCTCCTCCTTCTCCTTTTCCTCCTCCTCCTCCTCCTCTTCCTCATCTTCCTCTCCCTCTATCACCTCCTTCTCAATCCCTCCCGAGCTCAACCCCGAGGACGCCCCGATGACCGCCCTGCTCGCTGCTATCTGCAGCGAGCAGCTGGGGCCAGCGGGCTACGACATCGCGAAATGCTCAGCGGAGCCGTACGTCAGGCGGCGGGGGGTGGGGGGAGGCAAAGAGCACGGGAGCAGGCGAGGGGAGGAGGTAGGGCAATCTAGGTGCGCCCCCGCCACATCCGACATCCGAATTACCCTTCCCGCCCATCTTCCACATGCGTTGATTTGTGCTATCTGTCCGCCGACGCGTATCATAGCGGACCTGGGATTCCCCAACAAAAACCAGCATCGCGTTATGCGCGGTCGGACACAGATGAGCTGCGTACGCTAGGAGGAGGAGGAGGAGGAGGGGCGGATGAGCAGGAGGAGGATCAGGAATATCAGGACGAAGGAGGATGGAGGAGGTGGAGGAGGACGAGGACGAGGACGAGCAGCAGCAGCAGCAGCAGCATGAACTGGAGTGGAAAGAGCAGGAGGACCAGGAGGGGAAAGGAGGGGGGCGACAACGATGAGGAAGGTCTCGGATCCAGAGAGGTGGCCCGCGCTCGGTCGAAAGCGCCATTCCGAACGACGGGAGCAAAACCCCGACCCTAAAATGAGGCCCACGCTGCAGCGGGAGCTCCATTTAGAAAGAGCGAGAACGTGCGGATTAGAGCACACCTCTTACAAAACATAAGCAACAAAGGACAACACGTGGAGTGGGGCGCGCTAATCTCAGCACGTTTTCGGGGGAGAGAGAGAGAGAGATATATATATATATACATATCGGAGGTTGGGGGGTGACAGTGGAACGGAGACCCCCAACCGGGAAATCGTTTCGTTTCGTTTGTGTCGTGCGTGCGGGCGAGGCGAAACTGCGTGGGCGCGCGAGAAGAATGAACCCGCCGCTGCTAGGGCGAAGTCAAGACAAATGATTCTCCCCCGTCCGTCCGTCCGTCCGGCGGTGGCTCGCGGTGTCCCGCGGTGTCCCGTGGTGTCCCGTGGTGTCCCGTTGAGTGAGATCGATCGTGAGATCGATAGTGAGATCGATAGTGAGATCGATACTGAGATCGATGTGGTGCCCCGAGGTGTCCCGTGGTATCCTATCAAGTGAGATCGATAGTGAGATCGATAGTGAGATCGACAGGTGTCCCGTGGTGTCCCCTGGTGTCCCGTTGAGTGAGATCGATAGTGAGATCGATACCGAGATCGGTGTGCTGTCCCGAGGTGTCCCGTGGTGTCCCGTGGTGTTCTATGGTGTCCTATGGTGTCCCGTTGAGTGAGATCGATAGTGATATCAATCGTGAGACCGATAGTGAGACCGATAGTTAAATCAGATGTTGGTTCCCCCCTCTCCCCCCCAAACCTCCTTGTCACCCGAAGGGTGGTCGTATAGGTATGTATGTATCTGTCTCGTACCTGTAAGGGTCGGGAGGGTAAGGAAGCCCTACGTCTGGCGGCGGGGGGGCGGGGAAGAGAAGGGAGGAGGAAAAGGGGGGTGGGGTGGTGGTCAATGCATAGGGATGCAAGTCCCGAGCAAAGCAACAAACTCCACGACCACGACGACACCGACAACGACGACGAAGAAGACGAGGCGAGAAGACGATCCCCACCGAAACACAGATTAGGGAAAGGGCCCACACTGCAGTTTCGGTCAAACAGCACATCGTTGAGCGGTGTTATAACCTCCCCTGGGCACAGGCCCCGCCAGAGCATCAGCCAGACAAGTCGGGTTTGCACCCTCATGCTTTGCTGGACTCTGGGCGCGCTTCGGCACTGCCACTGCCACTGCAAGTGCGAGGAGGAGGAGGAGGAGGAGGAGGAGGAGGAAGAGGAGGAGGAGGAGGAGGAGGAGGAGGAGTGGGGGAGGAAGGAGGCGAGGGGTAGGAGGGAGGAGGGAGGGTAGGGGAGAAGGAGGAAGATGAGGAGGAGGAGGAAGAAAAGGAGGAGGAGGAAAAGGAGGAGGAGGAGAGTATTTGGAATGAGGGAGGAGGAGGAGGAGGAGGAGGCGGAGGAGGAAGGGGAGGGAGGAGGAGGAGGAGGAGGAGGAGGAGGAGGAGGAGGGAGGAGGAGGAGAGGAAGAGGAGTGAGGAGGCGGAGGAGGAGGAGGAGGAGGAGAGGGAGGAGGAGAAGAAGGGAGTGAGGAGGCGGAGGAGGAGGATGAGGAGGAGGAGGATCAGGAGGAGGCGGAGGAGGGGCAGGGGGAGGGGGAGGGGGTGGGAGAGGGAGGAGGAGGAGGAGGAGGTGGAGGAGGAGGAGGAAGAAAGACGAAGAGAGAAGAAGACGAAGATGAAAAAGAGAAGAAGAACGACGAATAATAATAATAATAATAAGATAATAATAATAATAAGAAGAAGAAGAAGAAGAGGAGGAGGAGGAGGAGGAAGAGGGGGCGGGGGAGGAGGAGGAGGAGGAGGAGGAGGAGGAGGAGGAGGAGGAGAAGGAAGAGGATTGCACGCCATTGAGGGGACAGAGAAAGAGAGAGGAAGACAGAGAGAGAGAGAGAGAGAATCCCACAACCGGAAGGTGGGTGCCTTATCGGAGAGGACCTTTTTATCACCACGGTGCGGCTCGGGCAGGCTGCGCACCGTGGGCCAGCGACAGGGCACCCTTCGGAAAATATATGTCCTTCGCCCAGCTAATCCGTAGGCTCCCGAGCTCTGCGCAGCTTGCCGAGCTCTCGAGTTGTTCTTTGTCTCGTTGAACCCAAAAAGCCCGGAGGCAATCTGAGAGGCAGAGGTTGCCAGAACCCCTGCAAATTATTCCGGCGAAGAACCCAACCATAAGCAATTGTTCGTAACGCGTTGTGGGTACCGACTTCGGTGGGGCTTCCTATGGGGCCACGAAACGCTGCCTTGGGTGGGGGAACCGCATGCGAACTGCGCCACTGGGGCGGGCCTTCGGTGGAGCTCCCTATGGGGCCACGAAACGCTGCCCTGGGCGGGGACTGGGGCCTTCGGTGGAGCCCCCCATGGGGCCACGAAACGCTGCCCTGGGTAGGGGAACCGCATGCGAGAGCAGCCACTGGGGCCTTCGGTGGAGTTCCCTATGGGGCCACGAAACGCTGCCGTGGGTGGGGGAACCGCATGCGAGAGCAGCCACTGGGGCCTTGGGTGGAGCTCCCTATGGGGCCACGAAACGCTGCCCTGGGTGGGGGAACCGCATGCGAGAGCAGCCACTGGGGCCTTCGCTGGAGCTCCCTATGGGGCCACGAAACGCTGCCCTGGGTGGAGGAACCGCATGCGAGAGCAGCCACTGGGTCCTTCGGTGGAGCTCCCTATGGGGCCACGAAACGCTGCCCTGGGTGAGGGAATCGCATGCGAGAGCAGCCACTGGGGGCTTCGGTGGAGCTCCCCATGGGGCCACGAAACGCTGCCCTGGGTGGGGGAACCGCATGCGAGAGCAGCCACTGGGGCCTTCGGTAAAGCTCCCCATGGGGCCACGAAACGCTGCCCTGGGTGGGGGAACCGCATGCGAACTGCGCCACGGGGGCCTTGGGTGGAGCTCCCTATGGGGCTACGAAACGTGTGAGGGGGGTGCCGAGAGCAGAGGCAAGGAGGGGGAGGAGGGAGGAGGGAGGGGGCAGCGGGAGGAGGAGACGCGGGGCACCGTCTCTTCAAAACGAGGACCCAACACCACAGGATGGTTGGGAAAAAAGAGTTTTCGACGCCTTGGGTTTTCCTGGCAGGGCCTCACGCCCAGCCTCCAGGAACCTTGGGCCAAACAACTCAACCGTCAGGCCTCCAGGGGTTTTCGCAGGACCCAACCTGCGCGGCTGGTCGGGCGTGGTCCGTGTGCACCACTGGGCCGGTTGCCGACCTGTGAATGGCCGTATGGCGCCACATCGACGATCTCGGCCTTGGGCCGACAGGTATGCTGTTCCAGAAGACGAAAGCGCACCGGACCGCGGCGGCGCTGGAAAGGCTGGCAGCAGATGAGCTCCGCATCGTGAGGGCGAATGCGGAGGCAGACCGCTTGGCTGGCCAGGGTGCGAGCGAGGGCACGAACAGTTTTCTGGAGCATGTCCACGAGGCATGCGCGGCCGAGGAGGAGCGCATTGGTTATGTTTTAAACTACGTCGGTGAGCTCACCGAGCGGGCGTTCGAGGTACACTGGCGGGTGGCCAGACGTGGTCGAGCTGCCAGGCCCTGCGCCTCTGCCGCCGCCGCCGCAGCTCGAGCTCGTCCCAGAGTTGTCCAGGCGGCACGACCTCAGGCGCCGGCAGGGCGGCGGATAAGAGTGCAGCCGATGCCGCCGCCATGCTGCACAGTACCGCACGCTGGAAGTGGAGCGCTGCCCGTGGCATGCGGCCGTCCGCCTCGTCGTGGACGTCGGCAGCGCTGGGCGCAGCAGCCGCGGGCACTGCCTCAGGAGCACCGCGGATGTCGCGTGGTGCTGTCTTTGCGGCCGGAACAAGCTGAGGCGCCTGGCTGGCATGCGGGAAGAGTACCTTGGCGGGCCTTCGAACAAGTCCGTGCTCGACAATCTGAAAGCAGGCAGGCGGCGAAGGCGAGGATCATCGACCCCCCGATCGGAGGAGGAGGAGGAGGAGGAGGAGGAGGAGGAGAAGGAGGAGAAAGAGGAGGAGGAGGAGGAAGGAGGAGGGGGAGGGGGGAAGAGGAGGGGGAGGAGGAGGAGGAGGAGGAGGAGGAGAGGAGGAGGAGGAGGAGGAGGAGGAGGAGGAGGAGGAGGAGGAGGAGGGAGGAGGAGGAGGAGGAGGAGGAGGAGGAGGAGGAGGGGGAGGAGGAGGAGGAGAGGAGAGGGGGAGGAGGGGAGGAGGAGGATGAGGAGGGGAAGAGGAGGTGAGGAGGCGGAGGCGGAGAGGAGGAGGAGGAGGAGAGAAGAAGAAGAGGAGTGAGGAGGCGGAGGAGGAGGAGGAGCAGATGGAGGAGGAGGAGGATCAGGAGGAGGAGAGGAGGGGGAGGGGGAGGGGGAGGGCGGAGAGGAGGAGGAGGAGGGGAGGAGGAGGAGGAGGAGGAGGATGGAGGAAGAAGTACGAAGAAGAAGAAGAAGACGAAGACGAAGAAGAAGAAGAAGACGAATAATAATAATAAGAATAAGAATAATAAGAGAGAAGAAGTAGAGTAAGAAGAAAAAAGAAGAGGAGGAGGAGGAGG